AGGGTTGGGTGCTGATGCTGGGGATGAGCTGGGGGAGGTGGGGGAAGGGAGTGAGAGGGAGAGGGGTGAGGGAAGAGGGGAGAGGCATTGAGAGAAGAGAGGACGGGACGAAAGATTCAGAGAATCAGAGATAAGGCAAAGAGAGCAGGAAGAGAGGCTGAAGGTGGTTGGCAGGGAACGGCTGGGTGCTTACAAAGGCGAGTGCGCGAGCACGAAGGGGTGCCTCAGCAGGGCAGTGGCGGGGGGGCGGCGGCGCGGGTCAAGATGCAGACAGCAGGCAATGAAGTCTGCGAGGTCCTCTGATATGCCCGGTGGGATGGGCGGAGGCACCTGCGTGGCTGCTATTTTCATGAAGGCCGTTTCCTGGTCAGGGAAGGGATGCAGTGGGGGAGGAGAGAGGCGCAGGCAGCAGGCAATGTGGGGCATGTGCAGCATGTGGGGCATGTGCAGCATGTGGGGCATGTGGGGCATGTGGGGCATGTGGGGCATGTGGGGCATGTGGGGCATGTGGGGCATGTGGGGCATGTGGGGCATGTGGGGCATGTGGGGCATGTGGGGCATGTGGGGCATGTGGGGCATGTGGGGCATGTGGGGCATGTGGGGCATGTGGGGCATGTGGGGCATGTGGGGCATGTGGGGCATGTGGGGCATGTGGGGCATGTGGGGCATGTGGGGCATGTGGGGCATGTGGGGCATGTGGGGCATGTGGGGCATGTGGGGCATGTGGGGCATGTGGGGCATGTGGGGCATGTGGGGCATGTGGGGCATGTGGGGCATGTGGGGCATGTGGGGCATGTGGGGCATGTGGGGCATGTGGGGCATGTGGGGCATGTGGGGCATGTGGGGCATGTGGGGCATGTGGGGCATGTGGGGCATGTGGGGCATGTGGGGCATGTGGGGCATGTGGGGCATGTGGGGCATGTGGGGCATGTGGGGCATGTGGGGCATGTGGGGCATGTGGGGCATGTGGGGCATGTGGGGCATGTGGGGCATGTGGGGCATGTGGGGCATGTGGGGCATGTGGGGCATGTGGGGCATGTGGGGCATGTGGGGCATGTGGGGCATGTGGGGCATGTGGGGCATGTGGGGCATGTGGGGCATGTGGGGCATGTGGGGCATGTGGGGCATGTGGGGCATGTGGGGCATGTGGGGCATGTGGGGCATGTGGGGCATGTGGGGCATGTGGGGCATGTGGGGCATGTGGGGCATGTGGGGCATGTGGGGCATGTGGGGCATGTGGGGCATGTGGGGCATGTGGGGCATGTGGGGCATGTGGGGCATGTGGGGCATGTGGGGCATGTGGGGCATGTGGGGCATGTGGGGCATGTGGGGCATGTGGGGCATGTGGGGCATGTGGGGCATGTGGGGCATGTGGGGCATGTGGGGCATGTGGGGCATGTGGGGCATGTGGGGCATGTGGGGCATGTGGGGCATGTGGGGCATGTGGGGCATGTGGGGCATGTGGGGCATGTGGGGCATGTGGGGCATGTGGGGCATGTGGGGCATGTGGGGCATGTGGGGCATGTGGGGCATGTGGGGCATGTGGGGCATGTGGGGCATGTGGGGCATGTGGGGCATGTGGGGCATGTGGGGCATGTGGGGCATGTGGGGCATGTGGGGCATGTGGGGCATGTGGGGCATGTGGGGCATGTGGGGCATGTGGGGCATGTGGGGCATGTGGGGCATGTGGGGCATGTGGGGCATGTGGGGCATGTGGGGCATGTGGGGCATGTGGGGCATGTGGGGCATGTGGGGCATGTGGGGCATGTGGGGCATGTGGGGCATGTGGGGCATGTGGGGCATGTGGGGCATGTGGGGCATGTGGGGCATGTGGGGCATGTGGGGCATGTGGGGCATGTGGGGCATGTGGGGCATGTGGGGCATGTGGGGCATGTGGGGCATGTGGGGCATGTGGGGCATGTGGGGCATGTGGGGCATGTGGGGCATGTGGGGCATGTGGGGCATGTGGGGCATGTGGGGCATGTGGGGCATGTGGGGCATGTGGGGCATGTGGGGCATGTGGGGCATGTGGGGCATGTGGGGCATGTGGGGCATGTGGGGCATGTGGGGCATGTGGGGCATGTGGGGCATGTGGGGCATGTGGGGCATGTGGGGCATGTGGGGCATGTGGGGCATGTGGGGCATGTGGGGCATGTGGGGCATGTGGGGCATGTGGGGCATGTGGGGCATGTGGGGCATGTGGGGCATGTGGGGCATGTGGGGCATGTGGGGCATGTGGGGCATGTGGGGCATGTGGGGCATGTGGGGCATGTGGGGCATGTGGGGCATGTGGGGCATGTGGGGCATGTGGGGCATGTGGGGCATGTGGGGCATGTGGGGCATGTGGGGCATGTGGGGCATGTGGGGCATGTGGGGCATGTGGGGCATGTGGGGCATGTGGGGCATGTCGGGCACGTGTGCGGGGCATGGGCGTAGTCGAAGAAAACGATGAGAGAGCACTCACAGGGCCGAAGCCGCGGCCCCAGATGGGGCAGCCGGAGGTGGGGTGGAACCAGGGCGGCCAGAGAGTGACCATCTCTATCACCGTGCAGCCCAGCGACCATATGTCCACCGCCCAGTCGTAGCCGCCTGATGCGTTGATCACCTGGAAAGGGGGGGGGAAGGGGGGAAGGGGAGGAAAGAGGGCAAGAGGAGAAGGGGGGGCGTGAGGAGGTGGGGAAGAGGATTAGAGTGCTCAAGCACAGAACTATCTAGCACATAGACTGATTTTGCCTAGCCCAGATAACACCTTCCCCAGGTAATGCGTACCTCAGGTGCCATCCACCAGACAGTGCCACGGCAGCCTGTCATGTCCAATGATGCTGAGTACTGCGCTGGGGGGAGAGGGGGTGAGGGGGAGGCGGAGAGGAGGGAAGACGGGTTGGAGTAGGAGAGGGGGAGAGGAGAGGACAGAGCAGGAAGCAGTGAGAGGGAGGAAAGGTTAATGTGACATGTGAATAGCGTAAGATCTTAAAGAATCCCCAGCTTTCCTCAAACGTCCCTCCACTCACTCACACACTCACACACCCCCCACTCACTCACTCACATGCCACATGCCTCCCCCCCACTTACATGCTTGGCGAGGCCAAAGTCGGCGAGCTTGATGGTGCCGCTCTTATCGACCAGTATGTTGCTGCACTTGATGTCCCTGTGCACGAACTCCATGGAGTGCAGGAACAATCCTCAACTTCTCTCACACACCCCCCACTCACACACACGCCACACCCCCCCCCCCTCACGCACATGCTTGGCGAGGCCAAAGTCGGCGAGCTTGATGGTGCCGCTCTTGTCCACCAGTATGTTGCTGCACTTGATGTCCCTGTGAACGAACTCCATGGAGTGCAGGAAGGCGAGTCCCTGCAGCACCTGGCGCACATACTTGCTGAGCAGCGCATGGGGGCGCACCGGCAGCTTCTTCAGCACGTTCAGAATCGACCCCATCTCCACGTACTCCAGGAATATGTACAGGTACTTGTCGTCCTGGAGGGGTGGAGTGCGGTGGAGTGCGGTAGGGTGCGGTGAAAGAATCAGACACTTGCTAAGCAGCTTCCAGCGTCACTCCCTCCCGGCCTCACACCCTCATGCTCTCACAACCATGCGCACTCCCAGCTTCCTACCCTCCTACCTTCCCCCACCTTCCTAGCCAGACAGGCTGATAGGGTGAGAGGCAGCGGAGAGCACTCACGAGTTCACAGCCGAGGTACTGCACGATGTTGGGGTGGTTGATGCGACTCAGCAGCATTATCTCCTGCACCGTGCAGTGTGGCATGGCATGGCATGGCATGGCATGGAAGGGGATGGAAAGAATTGGCACAGCACAGCACAGCACAGCAGAGAGGAATTATGGGCCATACAACGTGGAGCTGTCAAGGCATTCTCACATCACACCTCAATGCGTGCTCTCTCTGTTCAAGCTGCCCGTGCGCGCACCTGTTTGAGCTGCTCAACGGAGTGGTCGCCCCTGAAGTCAGCATCTGAGCGATCAAAAGTGCATTTAGGTGTATTTTGAGGCGCCTCTAAAAACGGAGTGGTCGCGCGCACGCACGCACCTGTTTGAGCTGCTCAACGGAGTGGTCGCCCCTGAAGTCAGCATCGGAGCGATCCAGAGCCACCTGCTTCACTGCAAACACCTCTCCCGTCATGCTGCTGCACGGGGGGGCATGGGGCGGAGGCGTGGGGGAGGAGGGGTGAGATGCAGACAGATTTGGAATGCATGAGAGGAGGCATGAGAGTCATTCACAACAAAGCCAACTGCTTTCACGCACTGAAACACCCTGCCATGCCATGCCACCCACCTCACCTCACGCACTGAAACACCCTGCCATGCCATGCCACCCACCTCACCTCACGCACTGAAACACCCTGCCATGCCATGCCACCCACCTCACCTCACGCACTGAAACACCCTGCCATGCCATGCCACCCACCTCACCTCACGCACTGAAACACCCTGCCATGCCATGCCACCCACCTCACCTCACGCACTGAAACACCCTGCCATGCCATGCCACCCACCTCACCTCACGCACTGAAACACCCTGCCATGCCATGCCACCCACCTCACCTCACGCACTGAAACACCCTGCCATGCCATGCCACCCACCTCACCTCACGCACTGAAACACCCTGCCATGCCATGCCACCCACCTCACCTCACGCACTGAAACACCCTGCCATGCCATGCCACCCACCTCACCTCACGCACTGAAACACCCTGCCATGCCATGCCACCCACCTCACCTCACGCACTGAAACACCCTGCCATGCCATGCCACCCACCTCACCTCACGCACTGAAACACCCTGCCATGCCATGCCACCCACCTCACCTCACGCACTGAAACACCCTGCCATGCCATGCCACCCACCTCACCTCACGCACTGAAACACCCTGCCATGCCATGCCACCCACCTCACCTCACGCACTGAAACACCCTGCCATGCCATGCCACCCACCTCACCTCACGCACTGAAACACCCTGCCATGCCATGCCACCCACCTCACCTCACGCACTGAAACACCCTGCCGAAGCCCCCAGCGCCGATCTGGCTGCCGCGCACCCACTGCCCCTTGGCCGGGCACACCGGCAGCGGCCGCGTGGGGGACAGCAGCAGGTCCGCGCCCGCCCCCCCCAGCGGGGACAGGGGGTCCGCGGACGGCAGGGGGAAGCCCAGCGGGGACGCGGACGGGGGAGGCGGGGAGTAGGCGGAAGGGGGAGGTGGGGGGAAGGGGGAAGCGGGAAAGGGGGAGAGCGCGGGGGCGTGCCAAGGGGCCTGGCGGGGGGCGAAGATGCGGGGGTCGGTGAGCGAGCGGGTGATGGTAGGGGGGGATGTGGAGGAAGCTGCGAGGAAGGAGTAACGGCCTGATCCGCCTGCCTCTGTACCGGTTCCAATCCCACCTGCCCCTGCTGCCACCGCGCCTGCCTCTACCGCTCCCACTGCTCCTCCCGCTCCGCCTGCTCCCACTGCTCCTCCCCCTCCGCTGTAGGCACCTAGGCCTCCCCATCTGCCCAACCCTCCAGCAGCAGTCCCGCCAAACAAGCTACCCAGGCCAGGGTGCATTCCCAGGGCTGGTTTGCCCGGTACGCCCCCCTGCTGCTGCGTGCCCTCTCCCACGCCACCTCCTCCCGTCGCCCCGTTTCCCGCACCCGTTCCCCCCCATGCTCCACCTCCCCCACCCCCTGCCCCCCATGCTCCGCCTCCCCCACCCGCTGCCCCCCATGCTCCGCCTCCCCCACCCGCTGCCCCCCATGCCGCACCTCCGCCGCCCGCTGCTCCCGCAACAAAAGCCGGCGCTAGCGATTCCGGCCAGTCCCAAGGCACCACGCCGGTCCAGCTGCTGCTGCTCAAGCCCCCGCTAGAGACTCGGGAGTGAGGAGGTCCGGTGGAGGTTCGGGAGAGTGGAGGTCCGGTGGAGGTTTGGGAGAGCGGAGGTCCGGTGGAGGTTCGGGAAAGAGAAGGTCCGGTGGAGGTTCGGGAGAGGTTTGGTGTGGATGAGGGGTTCGAACGAGTTCCAGTGACGTCAATGCCAGCAGGACTGACGTCAGAAAGGCCGTCTGTTTGACTGGGAACTGGTGATGTGGACAACGATGACGTGGCTCCGCCATATGCGGCAGCTGGCATTGAGGATGAACGGTGCATGGCGGTCAGCAAGTTCTCACACCAGCTAATGCCACGTAGACGGTTTCGAAATGTAACATGGTGGTCCTTGCGGTTTAGAACGGTGCAAAAGGTTTCGTAATGCTACACGGCGGTCAAGAGGAGCTGCTATGAAACCCCGCCAGCTCCCACCACGTAAGACAGACTCTATCATGCTGCACAGCGGTCACTGCGAGCTTACACACAACCCAACCATGGGAACGCTTTCGAACATGTAACTCAACCTAGCACTCCTACACCACTCCAACACGACCTCGTACGCGTTATAAGCTGGAAGTGTCCGATTGGTTTGACATCACGCGGCACGGCGGTCACTGCGAGCTCGCTCAACCCAACCATGGGAATGGGTTGGATCCTTGCACGCACTCCTACACTACTCCAACACGACCTTGTACGCGCTACAAACTAGAAGCGTCCGAAGAGCCTGACACCATGCTGCATGGCGGTGAACGCGAGCTTGCATGCATGCGATCCAGCCATGCGAATGCTTTTGAGATTTCCCGAGGAGAGCGCCTACATCGCGGTAACCACGAAGCTTCGACGAGTTGGAATCTCGAAGCTAGAAGCGAAGCGTAAGAAGGGTCTAAGATGCTGCATTGCGGACCGCACGAGCGTCTACTACCTTGACGCGTCCGAGCGGATACCAGATCACTTTTACCTGAACGTATGGATTCATCATGCTACGTTAGGGTAATCTCAACAGGCTTGACTGCTATGTCTGGCGTACTGTACAACGCAGTTCCAATTACCTTTGACACAACTCAGAAGATCGCCTTGAGAAACGTCACTCTAGGAATACATCATTGCAGAAAGAAAGGTGAGGCCACAAGAATGTACTGCTGAAACTCAAACGGGGATAGCCTGAAACTCAAACGGGGATAGCCTGAAACTCAAACGAGAGCAAAGTGTATGGATCATCAGTCAATTATGGAGTGTTCCATTTAGGTCTTGTTTCATAATTAGTTTTCATGCACTCCAAACATTGCAGCTCATAAATCTGCCAATTCATTAACCAATATCAAAATTATTACTATAACGTGATAGCACATACTCTATTACCAATGCATATTACTCCTGTTACTTGCCTTTGCTGGACCCTCCCCACCTTGAATTATATTTTAGTTTTAGTGTGTATACTCTAACCATGAACCTGAGTTAGGCTGGGTTTCTGTGTAAGAAGATACATATATAAGAAGCCACTTAGAAGTTTGTTTTCCCATGCAGAATTTGTGTTGAGACAGATTGATAAAAGTGTAGTCTATTTACATGTTGCACTCTACTAGAAATGCATGATAGCGTAAAAGATGATGTATAATCTACTAGAACAAACCCCCTCCTGTCACTGGATGTACCCATGTTGTTAGAAATGACATTATTTACATGTTGAACTAACTATAGATCCACTTCAAAATGCCTTCCTCATTGTTGTGACCAGAGGCTATTTTTGGTTTCATAGCACACTTAAGGATCAGGGTGCCAGGGCGACAGCACCCTGACTGCTAGGGTGAAGTTTCCTCCACCCTGTCCACAGAAGGGTAAAAGTTTTTGCACACTGTTCGTGACAGGGTGGTTTAAGGAAGTTTGTCCAGTTACCCTATTTCATGTTTGGCCATACTGTGCCTTCCATTAGATGACAATGTTCTACAACTACAACTACACATATTGATATATTACTAACTACATAGCAAGCTAGATGCCCTACTCTACGAACTGGGACTGTGCCCCCCCTACCTAATGTCTACAAATTCCTGCTCTCCTGGAATCACGCCCGAGAAGTCCCTAACGGGGCGCCTGTTCCTTCTCTCCCCGAAAAACAGCGACAACATCAAACCAGTCCACCTCGTAGTCCAAAAGAGAGCAGCGCATGAGGGCTCCAAGGCTTGCATCACCAATGGTGCCTCGTCCCCACGTCTTAATGAGGTTTTGCTTTGAGAATCCCCTCTCGCACTCAACAGTGCTGATAGGAAGAACTGCCACTGCCTGCCACTGCCTCATGATGTTGGGGAATGAACGACGCCAGGTGTCTTCATCACGAAGGGTGTTGGAGAGCGCTTTGTTGAAGTCTTCATTGTGGTGCTGCGAATGCATCGTTGAAGTGAAGATCCATAGCTCCGTCATTGCCTTGTTGAGATCGAATCCTACAGGACATGCACACAGGCAATCCAAAAACATCAATCCATAGGGATGAGATGGTATGGGACAGCGGAGAGAAAAGTTAAATAAGGAAAGATTCATGCAGGGCTAACTAGGCGTGCCGCTGGCGCCAAAACAACCACATCCCTGCAGTTCTAGGAAAGCATAACACACAGAAACAGTTTGAATGTTAACAAACCAGGGAGTTTCCCGTGGAAAAGTGCAGCCAGCTGCTTCAGCCACTTTTTGAATGCTGCCATGCGCTTGTCGTCGTCAGCCAGGTAGGTCTGGGACAGGAAGAGCTTGGTGCCTTCCAGGTTCTGCAAGTCCGCCATCCGCCACGCCAGCTCACTGTTGACCTCACTCGCGAACTGCACAGCAAGGGCGTAGCAAGCCTCCAAGTCGCCAGCAGTTTTGGCGCCAGGAAGCTTCCTCTCATGGAGGATGAACTCTTCCTTAGCAGGGTTCCCGTCAGCATCCACGCCATCTACACGCATCTTGCGCTTGTCGACTGGACCGTGCTTCTTCAAGAAGTCCGGTAGATGCATCTTGTCTCCGTGCCCGAACACATGGCCTTGTGGCACATTGATGTACCTCTGACTGATGCGCATGCGAGTTTGCACCACGAGGTGCGCAACCAGGGTCACGTCCACCTATGGTTGGGGAGCAGAGATGGAAACCGAAGGAGGACATGTTAATACCAGAAATTCAAATCACACGCATCGGACACCACGGATTAGGCCAGACACAAGGCGTTTTGGAGATTTCTCACCTGGCGCACTTGGAACCTTGTGTTCAAGTGGTTGAGCTCGGTGAGGATGTCCGCGAGAAATCGAAGAAGAAACTGGAATTTGAAGGAAGTTACCACCTCCCACAAAGTGGCGGAGTACTCCTTCACTGCGAGCATGGCGGCTGGCAACACTTCAAGTAGCCGATTGATGGCTTCGCCCCTCGCGAGCCATCTGACGTCATGAATCCCCTGCACCTCCAGGTTCGTCTGACAGAAGATGAACTGCAGCTGCATGAAGCGCTGATTCTTCACGTGACTCCTGCTGAGGATGTCCGCCACTCCGCGGACAACGTCGTCGACGATGTTGAGCTCGGGCACTTGAAGCGCTGCTTCCTTGGCTGCCAAAGCCTCCCTGCGACAGAGCGGTGCATCATGTTAGGATTGATCTACAAACAGTGACGCAATGTGAAGTATCGTGGATGCAAAATGAAATGGCGCTCACCGATGGGTGATGCAGTGAGTGGACGCGAGATGTTCAATCTCTGTCCTCAGGCGGACACAAACACCAGTCTGTGAACCGACCATGACGGAAGCGCCGTCAGTGGCGATCGCGACGATCTTCTGCAGGTCGATGCCGACCTGTCTCAAGTACTGCAACAGCACAGAGGTAAGCGACGCAGCGTCAGTGCGTTCCACAGAAAGGAGAGTGACAAACTCAGTGACGACCTCCGTTTCTTTGAAGAATGTGGCGTAAAGGATCATGTGCTTCCCGTGGACACGATCGGTGCTCTCATCAATGCTTAACCCGAGGCTCGGCGAAGCCTGGATGTGCTGAAGTTGACGCTCAAGCAGATGGGTAGAGATGGCGCTGAGGTGTTGCTTGAATCCGTACCTGCAAGCCATCACACGAGGGAGGTGTTAGGCCAAAGTGTCCATGTGCAAATGCATAAAAAGAAAAGGTTTTCGCGAAAACAACAATTGTACTCACTCTGTGTAGTACGATCCGTACCCTCCGTTTGGAGGGAGATCGGGAAGGCCCTCCTTGGCGAGGAACCAGCAGAGTGGAACGAAAAGCGCCATCGGTGCATCTTTCTTGCAGACGAAATGGGCGATGTGGAGACATCGTATGAGATGCCGTGTCGAAGAATCCGTTGCCTGCCACCGAGAGAGAGTCACCTGCCGCGCCTTAGCAGCTTCAGCCTCGCTTTCTGCCTTCAGCGCCGCCTTGTGAGCCGTGCTGACGATGTGTGCACGCATGCTCCCAAGCTGCAAATCTCTACCACCCTCACCTCGGCTTCCGTAGCTCGTGTTAGCGTTAGGATCCCCAAATAGCACACAGACCGAGCATTTGACAGACGGCCTACCGTTTTTCATGCGGTGAAGCCGCAGCCACGAGAACCGCTTCGACCAGTCGGTGTCGAACCGGTGCTTCATCAATGCAAACTCTGCATCCGCGTCCGAAGTTTTCACGGCTGGGGAGGATGGTGGTGGTGGAGCGCTTCGCGGAACATCCGGTTTCCGAGGTGGTGGAGCGCCCCACAAGCGCTGCTGGGTGTATGTCGTCCGCTTCCTCTTGGCAGGTTCATCGGGGGAAGTTCGTGGTGTGCAGACAGATGGATTGGAAGAGCCTTCACCGCCACCTGGTACAAGGATAACGGTCGGATGCTCTTGGAAAGCAGTGGGGGAACAGGGAGGCTCAAACGGGTAAACCACTCGTTCAGGAAGTACGGGCGATGAACCGCCCATTTCAGAAGTAACAGGCGGCGGCTGATCAACAGGTGGAGCTCCTCGACCAATACCGAGCACACTCAGGCCATTCAGCTGGCCTGATAGCGCGTCTTCGTCATCCTCGTCGCGAGGCATCCTAAGTGTGCTGAGAAACACAAGACAGAGGTGAGGAACAAATACGAACCGGATGGGATGAATGTCAGTGAATAGCTCAGTGCTTTGCTAGAATAGAAAAGAAACCCCTCACCATTCTAAGCGTACACAGCGTCTATGACCATCAGGCAACAGATACATCCATCCACGTCCAAGTGCAGGGCGCTCCGTCCCTACACGACGGGGCAACCACCACAGATGCAATGCGCTGTCAAGAGAA